AGAACAGTGCTAAGCTCTTACGTGGAAATATTACATAAAAAAATCACTGATCATGTCCTGTTCACAACATTAATTCTATCACATTTTCAGTGAAAATGGATTCCTGCGAATCAATAAATCCATATATATCTCTTTCGTTCGTGAAACATCCTGACTGACACACCAGCAGTGTTTGTTAGCATTATCAACTCTCTTTTTCTTTTCCTTAGTCCCTCGGCCGATCATTCATCCTCTCTCCAGCCCCAGTAACATGTTCTGCGTTACCAGCCTGGACCCCGACACGCTGCCCTCGGTGGCCACGCTGCTCATGGACGTCATGTTCTACTCAGGCGGGTAAGGGCCTCTCCTCCTGGCTTACATATGGCAGTAACCGAGAGCCATCTGCCAGATCTATTAGAGACTGATGATAATACACACAGCTCGCGCTGTAGGGAGTGCATTATGCGACGACAGGGGAGAAAAGACTGGAAACAAAATGAGCAGTGTGTATTTGTACTATTTTGCTCTTCCTTATAGTGGCTGAACTTGTTTACTACTCAGACAGTGGCATCAGGCCAACAGTTAGAGGGAAAGATCAGATCAGAGTTGCCTTTTATCATACTCCTCCCCCTCCCATTTTCACTATTCCTTGTGAAAGCATCAGCCGAGTTGAGCTCTAATGAAGCTTGTGTAATAACAAGAATCCCTGCTGCGCTTCATTACAGAGCGAAAGAGACCGGGGGGCAGAGCGAGGATTCTGGACACATCTGCTTTTTCTCCTTCTCGCTGATCGAGGGCTACATCTCTCTAGTTATGGATGAGCAAACCACCCGGAGGTTAGACCCCCCAGCCTTGCATCTAACTCTCTATTAAAGTCAACATGAAAACACAATTGACCCTATTTACTTTCTCAATACGACCCCTGGTCTTGTGCATGAATCAGCAGTGCATGCTATTACAAAGGAGAAAGGGTTTGTTTTTGTATAAATATACTCTACTATTATTTTCCAACCCATTTCTTCCAGCCACATGTAGCATTCGTATTAAACACCCATTTTTCCAAATAATTCCCAATTCATAAAATCTTTTTTCATTGTTCACATGGAAATATCACATTAAAGGGATAGTTCACCCAAAAATGAAAATTCTCATTATTTACACACCCTCATGTCATTACAAATTTATCAATGTTATTTTATCGAAATAAAGGCCAAAATTAAATCGGTATTAAAAGTGACCATATAAAGTGATCGTGTCTCTTCAGAATATTGAATCAAACGGATCAATTCATATGGATTATGTTTACGATCTCTACAAACGTTTTGAATCATTAAAAATATCTTCATTTGTGTTTCAAAGATAAATGAAAGTCTTATGGGTTTTGCAACGACATGAGGGTAAGTAATCGATGACCATTTGCATTTTTAGGAAAACTGCCCCTTTAACAGAAGTAAAATGGCTTGAAATGTAATTTCATGTTGACTTTAAGGAACTGAAACATTCATTTTGTATATACACTGCAATATTGGACTTGCATGGGTTGTAAAGTGGATTTCTTTGTCTTTTGACTCTGGCGCTTAAACTGTCTGCATTGGTTTCATCAGAATTTTCCAGCTATTTAAAAATACCAATCTTTTAGCTTGAAGCCTGTTGAATCACCCTGTCTTTGTGTGTGTGGCTAAAATGGAACTTGCCCGATGAAAAGATTTCTGATTACATGTACAGTATCATTGTTTTGTCATCACTGCATGTGGTTTACATGCTGCTCTTTTCTTGTCAGGTTTCCAAACAATGTCCTCTTCACCAGCGCTTCAGGAGAGCTTTGGAAAATGGTCCGCATCGGAGGACAACCCTTAGGGTTTGGTGAGTTCAGGCTAAAACTCAGTCTACTGTTATGATGACAATGAGAATCTCCTCAATATCTAGGGACTAGAATTTGGGGGTTGGTTCTTTTGACTTGGGTCACAAAGCAACCACCCAGAGCACCTTAGAAATGTGCTTAAAAACACATTAACAAGCACTTAGCCACATACTGTTGTCATGATAGCATTCACATTTTCCTTGATTGTAAAAAGTTTAAGGTCCAGTCACATTAACTAAATTTCTGCTAAATTTAGTGGTTAAAAAAAGCTCCATCGTCTGTTGCCAATACTATAGTGTATTGTGAGTCACACAGCAGTTACACAGAAGTCACTTTCAGACCAAGCAGCTGTCGGTTGGTCAGTGTGGTGAATCTACATGGGGAAATGTTTCGCCCTTGTGTGAAATTCCCTATCACCTGGATTCCTATGACTGGATTTTACCCATGAAAATTCACCAAACAACAGTAAATGTGACCGTTTCTTAATGCACAAACTACCTCAGGAAATCAAATGAGCATTTGAAAGTTTTGGTAGCTGAATTTCCAAGTCGTTTGTCTTCCATCAGATGAATGTGGCATTGTGGCTCAGATATCTGAACCGCTGGCGACCGCTGACATTCCAGCCTACTATATCAGTACCTTCAAGTTCGATCACGCTCTGGTGAGTTTGAGCACCCACTACTTTCCCGTCACTAAATATTCAGCTAGCAAAGGTGAAGTTTAACACCAGCAACACTCATATGTGTCCATCCAGGTGCCTGAGGAGAACATCCAGAGTGTGATCGGAGCCTTGAGGACCAATGAGAGCACAGGACACTGAGACTCTACGATTGGCTAGGCATCCCGTGTCCCAGAAAACATTTCGATTTCTTGTCTAAAACTCTTAAAAGTGCCAAGAGCTTACCTGAGGACTGCTTCTGGGAGGAGGATTGGACGGAAGGGGAATGGATAAGTGAGGGGGGAGGGGACTCTAATCTTGCCGTCAGTATTAAACGACAGCATCACTTCCTGTCCATTTCTTGCAAAAAAGAAAACCCTAATCCCCACCCAACTCTACAGGGACCCTGCGATGGTGTGAATCCAGTGTTTTTCTTCTCTTCTTTCTCCCCCACCCCTCTTCCTCTTATCCACTCCTCCTCCGCACATCATTTTACCATGACAACAGAGCCTGGACTTTAGCTACCGATTCTTAAGACGTTGCAAATAACCATTATGTATTAGTGGCAGGTCCTCCTCCTTGAGGACACAGAATGTACTCCAATGTTTCTCGAGATTTATTTCCTTTTTCCTGCCCCCCTTCTTGTTTTCCCTTGCAGTGCCAAGACATGGGGCATAAACAGGCTCCTTGTCTAAGAACTTGATGTTTTTGGGATGCAATTTGATGGTTCAGGGTTGTTGTTTTTTTTTGTTTT